TAGCCTGTGTAAAGTAAGTGTTTTAGGCCCTATAGTACTCCCTTTTCCTTTTCTCCCTTTTTTCTTCCCCAGGTATTAATAAAATACTCTACTTTTTGGGCTGACCTCCCCTTCACAGCTGTTGGGTGCTCTTCCAGCTCTCAGCCCTGAGGCTTAGGTTCAGTTCCTTGCTCGATGGGGAATGGCATTTGTCAGTTCTAATGCTTAGTGTTAAACTGTACAACTTAAAACCAGTTATAATCTTAAGCACAACTATTTAATCACAGGAGTTAGCAGATTACAGGTTGAGAACACTATATGAACATCGGGCTGGATTTTCAGGCTAAGCACTTGGAGGCAAGGCACTGAGACGGCATTGCCTTTCCATTATCTTTCCACACATCACCTACGCTGTTAATAGCAGCAAATAATAGCTACGGTTGCTGTCGTTTCCTCTACCTTGCAACAGTGTCACAGACTGTTCCTCTGTCAGCAATTGCTAGAGGGAAGTGTTCTCTAGAAAAACCTCCACCTACTTTTGAGAAGTCTTGCACACCTCCATGCTAAGGATATTGGGAAGTAGTGTAAATAGTCATCTGCATGTTCAAGACAGTCTTAAAACCTGTTCCTGGAATTTGCCTAAGTCTGCACAGGGGGTTGCTCTGCAGAACGTGCATTACTCAGAGATTAAATAGCAGGTGGAGAGGTCCATGCTACTGTGATTTGCCTACATCTGCCCTCAAAGAGCTTAATTCACATGTATGATAGTCCTTTTCCATTCTCTTTGGTCCCATAACTTTTAGAATATCTTCTACAAAGAAGGGTTTGTGAACTGATTTTGTTTGCAAGAACCTTATTATATCATTTTGGTATGTTTATTCAGAGACTTTTTCACTTTTCAAACCAGATTAGTGGGGATTATTCTTGTGATTAAGAGCGCATCTTGTGGGGAAACTGAGGCAGAGTATGAGTCCTCTGCTGTCACCCTGCAGACAGAAGAGGAAATAAAAATAAAAGCTTTGATAGCTGGTCCATTCCTCTCTTTATTAGGCCATTCTGTGTCTTTCACTGTCCTATTTTCCATAATGGACAAAATTCCATTTTCATCATCATTTCATCAACAGTAGACCATTGTTCAGGACTAGGCAATTGAGTAACTCTCTGCTGAATGCTTTCCATGATCGTTGAAGACCTGGTACTGTTGTTAAATGTTGTAGTGGCCCAGGGCAACTGGCTGACTATTTACTCAGATTAATTCTCTGATTTTTCAGCCAGCTAATTGGTTGCAGTGGTTTCCTACCCTGTTTTCTCTTCTAGATTCTATGCTGACTCTTTGCTAATTGCTCCCATCACCTTCATCTATTTCACATATTGCTTGTGAAATTAGGTTCATCTGGCAACAACCTTATCTTTGCCACAATTATGCAATTCTTTTTATTTCTTGAAATACTGAGAGTTTCCTCGTGGCTAGATCTGACCAACTCTTCTGCCTTTCTTCTTCTCATCAAATACTGAATTTGCAGAGATTTTCATGTTGACCATCTCAATGGGAGGTCTAATAGACAAATTTCCCTGGGAAAAACATTTGGGATTACATCATCCGAATCTGCAGTGACAAGAACCTATGTCCACCAGCTTCTCAGTTTTCAGACACCTGATTTGACGGTGAGCAAATATCAGTTTTTCTCTCTTCTCCAGAGGGGTTTAAGCCCAAAATACTTTGTACAGTGTCCTAATGTTCATGCTGGCTTGATAAGGTCTCTGCCCAGCAAAGGGCTTCCAGCAAACCGTCATAAGAGAAATACCAAACCTCTAGGAACTATGCTCTTTTTTTGACAGAGAAGACAAGGGCAATTGCTCAACTTCAGGAAGAGGATATATGTCACAAGCAATCTCTGAACACAAGACTACTGTACTTAGTGTTTTATTGTAGGCCTGTAAAGCAAATGTTAATCTATTTTAGCATTTGATACATTTTGTCCTCAGCTACTGTGATTAGAAAGTGTGCAAGTGGCTTACATCGGTTTGTACTATTTAGTCTTCACCACAGACACAGAGGTACACAGATTTGGTCCAGCTAATACTGCATAAAGCCTTGTGGAATGGCACTTGTCACATTGCCACAAGATAGATAAAATTTCCAAGTCAACCCTACAGAGAATATATATGTCAGATCAAATTAGAATGTGATCTTTCTGGGGTGTCAACCACACATGCAAGCTGCATAGTCCAGGGATGGGGCTTTTTGAGCATAGTCCCACTGCATAGTCTGCCTTGTAAGCTGGTGGTTGCATAGACACCTTTGGAGACTGTGATGATTTGTGGCTTTTGTGTGGAAGATGGAAGAAAGGCTAGTTGTGTTCTCCTATCTCCTGTGCACTTGTAAAAGACTAGAGGTAGTCTGACCCCAAATATTAATGATTCAAGTTAAAATTGACTCCAGATGACAAGAAGCATTCATTTTTCCCACTATCATACCCTATACACAAATCTTTTTTCAAAACTAGATTATCTCCTAAAA